AGTCGGTCTGCACGGTACGGTACAATAGCTAAGCCTTCTGTCTCCGACGGTGTCACCGTCTTTTAATTGTGGAGATGATAAGCACGTGAACCGGCAAATGCCTAACAAAGGCAGATCACAAAGTGGTAGGACCTTGTGACTCTCTCTATACTCTATCCTCTATTCAGCTAGACTACGGCTGAACTACGCCAACGCGGTTCAGTCCAGCGTTTAAAAGCCTAACGTATGGCATAGACAGGCACAACTTTCCCCTCCCGCTTCAAGAAGCATGGCAGCGTTGTCGTATCTTTATTTATGTGGCGAACAAATTATTTATGGCCGATGTCTGGTTCCACGCCAGAATTACGAGTAAATGTCGAGCTAGTGAAGCCACGGCATCAACTGAACGGGTTTTTTTGACTAGAACACACGAGCGACACAACACGCGGAGATTTTAATGAGAAGGAATCCCATGGCTTCCTCAGCAGCGCAGCCACCATTTCGGCGGATGTTGACGGCGGCAGATGGGCGTTCCTTTGGCTACCAGAATACGGTGGTCGTGCGGTCTGTCAGCGACACGGATACCTATTGGCTGGGATACGCTCTGGACATCTCCGACGACGGCCATCATGTCCTCGTTGATTTTGACTCGCAGCGGATGGAGGCGAGCTGGATCGAGGCTAGTCGCGTGTGGCTGGCGCTGCATGCCGCCGATAATCCCGCCGACCACCGCTGGTGTCGTCAATCCTTGGTGCAGGTGGCGCTGCGGGATGAGGACGACGGGCCGTTCCGCTTCCGAGCGGCGGTTATACGGGGCCGAGTTCCGGGTTACATATATCCCCGCATTAGCATGTTTTTCGTCAGTACGCCCGCGATGTCCCATGGTGATTCGCTAGACGTCGACACCGTAGCGGGTTTGGATATAGTCGACCATTGCCAGGTTATCGCCACCCACGCAGAGCAGTATCCAACTCGAACGACTGGAGAAACAGCTTGCAATTTTGCAGAGCGCAGCTATCGCAGATACCTCGAAGAAGACCAGAGTGTCTCAGTGGAAACGGTACCTCGTGTTTTGCAGTGAATTCAATTTCCCACCGCTTCCGGCGGATACGCATACTATTTGTTTGTACATTGCATACCTAGCAGAGACCCTGGAATTTGCCACAGTGCAGAATTACGTGTCGAGTTTGAGTTTACTGCATAATATAAATGGCATGGAAGCACCTGACCTTTCGCATTTTCAATCAGGCAAGCACTGACAGGCTTGCAGCGCAGCAGACTTGAACGACCTTTCCAGCGTTTGCCAATCACGGCTGATCACCTTCATGCATTGTACGCCGCTTTAGCAGCCATCGAACCGCACGCCAGGCTGTGTTTCTGGACAGCTTGCGTTGTGGCATTTTATTCACTTCTTCGGCAGGCAAATTTGTTTGTAAAGCAGAAGCAGACTGGACAGCACCTGACTTGGCAGCGTGTGGAGTTTTTCCGGCAGAGGCAGTGTAATTCTCACAGTCCCCGTTATGAAAACGGCTAAATTTAAAGCTCAAGACATGACAATCACATTGCATCCGAATGAAAGCAGCGTTTATCTGTGTCCCGTTACGAATTTGCGTCTACTGCAGGATGAGCAAAGAACCACATGTCCTCAGGATTCAGTATTTCGTTTTCGCACTGGCCGGGACTGGGTGTCGTTGTCAGCACACAGCTTCAACAGGCAGTTAAAGCGGTTGTTGGACAAGGCCAACATAGATGCATCACTCTTTCCGCCCACTCCTTTCGCAGGGTGGTGCAACGTTGCAGATCAAGCCGGAGTATCGGAAGCAGCCATTAAGGCACAGGGCAACTGGCGCAGCGACTGCTATAAGCGCTATATTGCACGCGACAATGAGCTACGTGAGCAGTTCGGTCAGATTCTTTCCAGTGGGTTGTTATGACGAGGCGTTGGGGTTTTGGGTCAGACTGCCCAGCATCCGATTGTGTTTTGTCAGTTTCTGTTGGATGGTAGTACTGCTGCCCATGGGATTAATAAATCCATACCCCCCACGACTTCGTCTGTTTGCTGGTTGCTTACGTTAGGAGCAGAAGCACGTTGGCAATAATGTGAAGGATTTCTCTGGCAGGGAGAAATCTGCTTATTATTGACAACCGGATCGTGACCTAACAGTTTCAGTATTCCGGATACGGGTCACCATATAAGCAACAGCGGCAATCGGCGGAGCCTTCACTTCAACGCATTTTTTATTTCCGCCCACCCGCCCTGCAAGTTCCATGCTTTTCGATAATTGCTGTTGTTTTCGGTCTGATGTGATGCGTCTTTGCTACGATTATTTTGATTCATTAGCGGATATTTCCTTGCTTTTTTTTTCCGTTGTTGTTTTTCCTGTGAAGGGTCAGACTGCCCAGCATCCGATTGTGTTTTGTCAGTTTCTGTTGGATGGTAGTACTGCTGCCCATGGGATTAATAAATCCATACCCCCCACGACTTCGTCTGTTTGTTGGTTGCTTACGTTAGGAGCAGAAGCACGTTGGCAATAATAGTGAGCCTGCACAACGCATGCGTTCTTATATTAGCGTGCGTATGGATGTGCATGTTAACGATTTTGGTTGTTTATGGAAATAGAGGAACCGTTTCAGCCGTGTCAGGAACGCGGGTGCAAACAGACCGAAATCGGCCTTCTTACCAAATACAGACCAATTCCGTTATTCCCGATGCTTAGTCAGTGTTTGAACTTTAATCTTTTTTGCAGGTTCAGCGGATTTCATGGCGACGGAACCGCACGGAACTGGGACAACGTGGACTGGCGCACGGTGGATGTGGGCCAGTTGAGCCGGTTGGCGGTGCTGGGCATCAGCGAGGTCCTTCGCGTCTGACGGACACCTACGGCAACCGTAACTGCGCTGACTTAGCAAAGCAAACGATAACTCGTCTAACTGTTTTCCCGAGAGATTTCTTCCGTTATTCAGTAATTAATGCACTTCCCCTTTCCATGCTCGTTTCAGCTTGAGTTTGCACCCACATTTCATTGCGATTAACTGCTGCGATGGATTCTTTCACTGATGGAATACGTCCTGTCCTGCATGGCTTGTTTTGCGCTTACTGTATTTATGACAGTGTTGCGGCACGTTATGCTGTTTTCCAACGCCAACCCTTTCTCGTTCAATCTGTCATGTGCGTGCTTGTGCTATACCGCCTTAAAACATTAAACGAAAAGCTTCAATAAAAAATTGTTGAATTCGAACGAGTGGGGAACGACTACGCTGAAAAGGTGGGTTAGAAACATTGTGATCGCAAACATTTTGAGCTATAGGGGAACATAGGGTGAATCGGAATTGGATGCCCAAAACAAACTGCACAATTTTGTACTCTGGGCGTAAAAAGGCGCATAAACTGCCGTATAGCAGATCTCCGCAGCATCTGTTATGTACGAGTGCATGATGTCGACATTCTGATGATAACGTATAGTCAGTTGTCATTGCATCCCCGTTCACGTGAATAATGTTTTGTGACTGGCGACGGGGCTGGTAAACACTATCAGTGACCGGTCGACATCGTGGCGCTTGGACGTAGTGATGGCCAACGAATTTTCCGTCAAAGAAACGCCACATCACCCAGTTGTAAAATACTAATGTACATGAGACTTTCGGGACTTTTGGAACGTCTTTGGATCCGTTTCGTTGGCCGGAAGATACGGGAGAAAACCGGGGAATCCCGATCTACGGCCTTTTTGAGACAGCGTTTAAGTTTAGCAGTGGTTAAAGGAAATGCTGCAGCTGTTTTAGGAACTCTGAATGCGCATCCTGAGGCGAGGAGTACCACTAACGATTTTGGTTGTTTTTCCAATGTCTAATGAGTCATTTTGATTAGTGTGCAGCGCGCCGGCACTTTTGTGTGTGGTGGCTATTGTAGCGATAGAAGTTGTACAACCATAAGACCACCCAGTTATGATTCATCATTGCGTTATGAATTTCTGTCCATTTTACCGGCTAGCTGTTCTTCTTCACAATTTCTAGACTTCAGTCTTGCTTTCGCTTGTTACAGCTTGCATCAGCTTGATCAGCTTGTTCCGCTTGTTAAACTCTTGCCTTAACCTAGCACCTTGTCTTGATTTGTTCTTGTCATTAAACATGCCGTGAACTTCCGTTGTTACGTTTGTTACGTCGTTAAGTTAGTAAGAGCGTCCACGACCGCACCGCTGCCGGTCGTGCCAACCTTTCATCCCAACAGCCCACACAACATCGTGGTAAGGTCAACACGCCAACCCACTAGAACAGCAGCCAGATCGGCTACTGTTACACTAAAGCCAAATAAAACCAGGACATGCACATGTACAAATGTACCATTTTATTTCCAGGCATGTTGAAAAGGAGTGTTCTTAATTTCTCCCAGAGTACAGAATTTGTTCTACTCAGTTCTTTGGTCCCACGGCGACCCACGCTAATAAATATATGCGAATCAGCATTCTGCGATCTGCAGTGTGCGTTCTGGCCTTTTCTTATAAGTTGTGGTAACCCGTCATTTTTCTAACGCGACGAATGCACATCGTGGTGGTTTCCATGAAGGGAATCCCGTCGCACATATGTACGGTAGGAGACGGTAATTATTAGTCTATTTCCGATTGCACAGGCGCAGGGCTCTCCCGTAAAATAAGATCTGCTACCGGGGTGGAAGCTCCGACCAGTCGCCGGGAGCGGAGGTTCTGATCGTTGCAATGAGTACGTACATGAAGCGACTATTAACCGCCGCGCACACCATGGTGCGTACAATGCCGGTCGGCAGGAAATGTCGTGTTATCGTCGGCAAACTTTGAGCGGCAGCGATGTCTATCGAAGCTGGTTGATCTGACACAGCAATCTGCCTGGTTGCCAATCCTTGCCTTGCAACTGACGAGTCTACGACGACAAAAATGTACAACGCACGTCAAGACCGTCCGGCCGCTGTGGCTGACGTCATGTGAAGCGGATAAGAGCGGCGCTGATCAGCATCGCATTCCTGGTTTGAAAGTTCATTGCTGCGCGCTCGGCGACGAATTCGTATAAAAACCCGGCGCCCACTCGCTCGTCCAACTGTTTATCCAAAGTTTTTTATCAGCGACTACAATGTGTCGTTGTCTTGGTGTTGTGTTGAGCTGCGTCCTTGTGGCATGCCACGGTACGTCCGCATAAACTGTACCCGAAGAAATGCTGGTTGTGTAGAATAACAGGTTGGTGTCAGTTGTAGGCGGCCGCGTGGAGATTCCGGATGATTACGACACGGAACCGGTTGCCAGCAGGAGCAGCGATAACCAGCTGGCTTTTGTCGACTATGGCGAAGCGCCCGCGTCGATGCGTGCGGCGGCCAACGGGCTGACGATTCCCGTGGATTATCCCGATGGTTCGTCATCCTTGGATGGGGATGACGAAGAGGGCTCCCCATCCGCGCCACGCATTATTAGTAAGCGGTGGTTAAAAACGGTCGCAGGAAAAGCCGAATAATAATTCCGTTCCCAATGCGTGGCAATTGTTGCAGATGGTAATCCGGCCCCCGCCCACGAGTTCAAGTTCATCGTCAGCCTCCGCAAGAACGGACAGCACATCTGCGGAGGCTCGCTTCTGGCCGATTACAAATCGGTTATCACCGCGGCGCATTGCGTTTACAAATAGTAAGGAAAAATAGCTCTAATTTATATATATAAACTACTTAAATAAAAATTGCGAAACATACATAAATGAAAAGTAGATTATATTACCATAAATTTATAATTATAATGCAGCCGTTCATTATGACATATTCTGCGCTCATGAACTTGTCTGCCTGATGACTCTGATCTTCTTGCTCTGCTACTTTATGTATTGCTAAGTATATATTATCAATATATTAATATTATTGTGTTATCATATATATTCGATGCATTATCTGGCGTTCTAACTGCAGTACGATACAATCCGCGTTAGCGTATAAGCCCACGTTACAAAATGCATGAAAAATAAAATAAATATTAATGCAGCGTATAAATTATATGCGCTGTCTTTTGAATGTGCGAAAGCGTTTGTTGAATTTCGTAGTGGCTTTAAGACGCCCGCCAGCATCCTGACAGTGGCAGTAGGCATTCGTCGGCGTTCCGGTGTAGACGCCTCCCATGTTCTGCAAGTCGGCCGGGTCAGCGTACACCCGTCCTACGACGAAGACAGCATCCGCAACGACATCGCCATCCTGCACCTGTCGCAGAGCGCCGCCGGCATCAGCCAGGTCGCCACCGTCAAACTGCCGCCGGCCAACCGCGAGCCGGCCGTGGGCACCCTCCTGCACACCGCCGGTTGGGGCGCCACCGCCACCGGACTGTACCCGGGGACCGGCGCGGAGACCCTGCTGAAGACCACGCTGAAGGTGGTCGACCGGCAGCGCTGCAGTCGGGTGTTCGGCAGTGTGCCGGAAAGTCAGATCTGCACCGAGAACGACCGCTCCGGAACGTGCAGCGTACGTACAGATAGAAAAGTCGACCTTTTTTAGCACATATCGTGCAAAGCAAGTGGCGGCGATTTATGCGCATTGGATGTGTTCCAGTTGCACACTGTTTGTTGATTTTATTATTTAATTTCTGAACCGCGGACCCACTAGCAAATTTCCACTTTCTATGTCCTGCACAATATATCGCCGTACGCTGCCGTTACTCACAATCCTTTATTGTTTGAACAGGGCGACAGTGGCGGTCCCTTGGTCAACCGGCGCGGCGACGGCGACTACCTGGTGGGATTGACCAGCTACGGCGTCAATGGGTCAGTCGTGTTTACAGCGTGTGTCCTCTTCCGGTGACCTTTGGATATCTCTTACAGGTGCACGCTGGGCACGGCGGACGCCTTCACCAAAGTCAGCCACTACAGCGACTGGATCCGGCAGACGGCCAACGGGGAATCCCCTGCTGGCGGCGGTTCTCAACCCGATCCCAGTCCTGGCGGTGGCGGAAGCGGTGGCGGCTCGACCGGCAACTGTTTCCTGCTGGGCACCACGTTATTCTGTCAGGGCGGCGGAGGGATCGGTGGCGGGATACTGCCTGGCGGATCCGGGCAGCAGTGCTACATTATCAACGGCCAGATCCACTGTATCAGCAGTAACCCGGTGCTGTCCGGATCCCGACAGTGTCTGGTGTACGGCAGCCGCATTTATTGTTACAGCGGTTAAGACAAAACGATGTCCTAGAATTTAGGTATCCCGGTGGACGCAGCCGACCTTCATAGACTTACTGGTTAGCTACGCCACATTGAGATTATCAGCTCATATTCTGTCGTTAAGTAAGGTCGGCTGGATAGATTATTACGGTAATTATTCCTATCGTAATGGTCTTTCCGCAAGTTCTAAGCATTATTGTTGTCGGTTTGCGAGATATTTAGCGTTTCCCAGTGGGTCTGGATTCAAAGCTCTCAGTTCTGTACATGTACAATGATAAACACTTCTTAAAAATATGGGAGAAATCACGCATACATTATGGGAGAAATCATGGGAGAAATCACACATACATGGGAGAAATCATGGGAGAAATCACACATACGTGGGATACATGGGAGAAATCAACACTTGCAGTTGCGATTTGCGGTGCACAAATCTGGGCTAAAATGCTGGGGATGTTCACGGTAACACCGTAACACGCAAGATACTCCTGAGCTTTATTGGTATATGACACTTCATCATAACCCTCGTCAGGAACAACATCTTAGTTATCGCTGCACTTCCGTGATCAGTAAAATACTCAGTTGATCGCTGCAATTCTGGCAAATGGATCCACACGCCAGTAAGCTGAATATTGTAACAGTGTATATGTCTGGCTGCTGCTGTTCTAGTGGATTGGCGTGTTGACCGTACAGACTGTACCACGATGTTGTGCGGGCTGTTGGGATGAAATTTTGGCACGACTGGCAACGGTGCGGTCGTGGACTGCTCTTACTGATGTAACGCAATTACTGAACATAACAACGGAAGTTCACGGCATGTTTAATGACAAGAACAATGCAAGACAGGGAGCAAGGTTTGGGCAAGAGCTTAACAAGCTGAATAAGGCAACAAGCTAATCAAGCTGATGCAAGCTGGTACAAGAATGAATTGTAGAAATTGTAAAGTAGGAGAGCTAGCCGGTAAAAATGAACAGACATCATAACGTAATGATGAACCATAACTGGGTGGTCTTATGATTGTACAACTTCTATCGCTACAATATTAACCAATAAAAAGAGAAAATAAAACGGAACGGAGGAAATGAAATTTGCACAACGGTTGGAGACAGTTCCGAACGCTGTACAAAAATCATTCATTGCCGACTTGTAGTAATAAAAGTTAACTATGAGAATATATAACGAATGCTGGTTGCCTGATGAACCGATAATTGACAGATTTACATATAGGAGGGGCAAACTTTTTATTGGCTGGCTGGCACGTGGTACAGTTGCCTAATATCGTCCTAGCAGGTGTAGATCGAAGTGATTGCTGCAGAGTTTATGATTGCAATTCTCTACTTTCTTGGATTCTCATTTAAGTAAGTTGTAAACTTTTAAATGGCAAGGGGTCCTGATAGTTGGATTCTTTTTGGAAATTGTGTAAAGGAATTCTCGTCACATATCCAACGACATTATGTGGAGAAGCACAGACCTGACGCTTGTAATGTGGAGTTTCGCCGTGCAATGCAGCTTGCCTACGGTGGATTTGTTTTCCTTGAAGCAGCAGATTCTGAGCCACGGGACCCGAATCTAGCTTTAGTGTCTTTATCTCTGAAGTGTAAGCCTCAGGATAAATCCTCGAAAATGTACGTACTGCATCTGGAGCTGACTGTGCAGCTGGAATCCAGTGCCGTTTCGGAAGTCAAGTACTTGACGTGCGACTGCAAAGCTGGTGATGCTATAAACGGGCGAGCTTGTTGTAAGCATGCGATTGCCGCTTTGGAAGTATTGCAACATTACGTGCAAACAAAAAAAATTCCAACAAGAATTTCTGCTGTGTCAAAACTCCCTGACGAAGTATGCACGCAAAAGCTACAGCTGTGGCACATCCCAGATCTAAACAAAGATGTTGAAGCTGATCGTGCAGACCTGTCGGAGTATTATCGGAAACCAATCTCGATTAGGGACAGCAAACGAAAACGTGATTTTACGGATGCTAAGCACGTACCAGCAACGATTCGGTATGATCCCGCACGCCTGAGAAAAGCTCAAGAACAGCTGTCAGTTTATCCTGATCTCCCCATTTACCAGCTGCTGTGTCGCAGTGCTGTGCTGCATGAACCGCCTCACAGCCCCACAAAAAAACGCAAGGTTGACCCGTTCCCGCCCGACCCTGCAGATCGTCCGAGCCTACCGCTGGAATGCCTTCAGTTCCTGATTCCTTCAATAGACGCTCTACATCAGTCTTTTGTGACGCCGCTGAGTGCCTACGAGATGAACTTGCTCGGAAAATTATCGGTAAATTCAGCCGTCGCGGTAACGATAGAGCAGTCCACGCGACTGCAAAACAAATGTGACGTGTGGAAGCAGGAACGAAAATACCGTGTTACAGCATCCAAAGCTCACGATATCGTGAAGTTTATGGAGAAAGATCCCTCTGGATTCTGCAAAAGCTTTCTGTCTCAAATTAATTAATCCACCTCGATTGAGTAATCTACCTGCCATCGCCCGTGGTATTGCGAACGAAGAGCCTGGTGTAAAGTCGTTTTTACGCGTTCTGCAGGATAACACACTGTGCCATGCGGAATCGTTTCCGATTGGGCTGATTGTGCATCCTCGTGCTAACTGGATGGCTGCAAGCCCAGATCGGCTAATCCGCGTCGAAAGAAACGGTGTGGTTTCATGGCATTTACTCGAGATTAAGACGGTTAAACCGGAAATTGTGGAGTCTGCGTTTTGGAAAACACAGTATTTGGATAAGAACGTGAAGCAACTGCGGCGATCTCATCATCACTTTTATCAAGTGCAGACCAGTCTTCTTGTGTCCGGTATATCTACCAAAAGTTGCTATTTCTTTGTTTATTCCAGAGATGATGGTCCTTATCATTGTGAGGAGATTTTGTTAGAAGAGGATTTAGCTGTGAAGATAATGCAAATTTGTACAGAGTTTTTCTTCAAGTTTCATCTGAAAGTAAACGAATATAAATAAACCGCGTTAGTGCCGCAATAAGTGAAGCAGTAGTTATTAGTTAAATCACGAGACATAAGTAACAAAACTTTCATTCATCGTATTCAACAGAAGAAAATTGTGAGACAATTTCTGGAACATCTGGAGCATCCATATCCTGCGTGGCTGGTTCAGAAATTTTAAGAATTGGATTCATAAAGTTGGTCAGCCATGCAATAACACGTATCAACTTTGATGTTAACGCGATACCTGAGATAGGAATCGGACCTTTCAAAATTTTGAAAACTTTGAGCTGCTTGATTTTTCTTTCAACATGAATTCTACTGTTTGCTGTCTCTCTCGTCTCGATCTGCATTTCCGGACTCAGGACAGGATCGGCTCCGGAAGGGGGCACTATCCAATTCACTCCTAATTTGGACATTTCTTCTTTCATTTGGAATCCTCTATCTGCAAGTACCGTGTCACCTGGGTTTAAGAATGTAGTAAGTCTCGACCGACGCACAAGTTCTGGATCGGAAATGCGGCCGTGATAAGCGTGGGAAATAAATATCACGGCGCCATCGGGAGATATCCCAATCAGCACTTTCATTGTGTTTCGCCACTTATATGTGCTAAACGTGCACTGTTGAGTCTCTGGATGACTTGGCTTTTCAATCTGAAGTTCAAATGCATCCACAGTGCACACCAAATCAGGATAACGATTTTTAGTTTCTCTCGGGACGCGGTTGTCCAACGCAGATGCACGGCAAAACGGCGCTGGCAGCTGCCGTAAGAAATGATATAAAATGTTGACCCAACTAATGTAGTAGTGACTGACAGATGCCGTGCTTACTCCAAATATAGCCGATACAATATTCTCAGTCATTCCGGTTCTCATCCTGAACAAAGTCATGAAAAACTGATTGAACGGATCCAGCGTTGGTTTTCTGCCGCGTTTAGATCTGTCAACATTACTATCCAAGTCTGAAGAAGGCCGCAGTCTGTAATGGTTCAGGAACTCCGGATCGTCGCCATGCAATATCGTTTTAAACAAGATATCATGCAGCACGGTGAAACTTGGAAGTCCAGTCAGGCGCGAAATCGAATTTGGACAATCTTTGAATTTCTCTGCCCGAAAAAGCTGTTTGGTATTTATCCGCTCAAGCTCTTCAATTTTGTTTTTAGTGAACTGCATCTCGGCGTTTTTTTCTTCCTGGATTTTACGTAAACGTTCTTGCATCCATTCGCATTGGTTTTCCAGTCGTTTCGCGTTCTCATTTGCCATTTTCAAAGATTCACGCAAAATCTCGCTCTCTGCATTATACCGTTGCTTCAGTAATCTTTGAGAACATTCGCCCTCTTTCAGTTTATTAACCAGTTCCGATATCTGATCATTTAATCTTAATATTTCGCTGTCCATGTCCGCCTTCTGCAGATCGAGGGACTCCATAGTTATGTCGGTGGTACAGGCAGTTTCACATTTGAATGCTCGAACTTTAGCCACTTTTCGCGACGTTGGCAGCTTTCGCTTAATCTTTGTGGTGGCTGGACGACTAGTAGATGGCATGCAAGCAAATGATGATGGCACTGCAGTCTTTTTGAGCTTGTCAAATTCGTCGTAATCATCGGGCGTAAAATGTAGTCCGCATATCAGATTGTGTTTGGACGGCTTCCATGAGTTTTGTTGCTTACATCGGTGTATCCACGAAGCGCGCCGTTCCTTATCAGCCTGGGATGATTTCGCGTTGACAGTAGGAAAACAATGAAAACGAATGCCAGCGTATAGGGGATTTCTTTTCTGTGCCTTACACATGGCAACACTGCACACCGAACCGTACCCATACCGTTTTTTCTAGAAAAGCATACAAATAGGCTACTACACTTTAAATTGCATAATTCCATTGTTATTTATATAAATTATTCTTTTTTTGTTTAGGATAATCGAATCGAATTAAAAAAACTTACCTTTGGTCCTGTTATAGTTGTAGAATGTTGCTGAGCGCTGGTAGATGCATCAAAAAGTTCGTCTTGAGAAACGTGCGGTAGGCTCATATCAGCACTCATGGTCTCGAAGATCGCAGAAAATCAGTGGAAAAAATTTTCCGCGTGTAAAATGTACATTTTCATAAGATTTGTTCAAAGTTTCAGTCAGGTTTCGAAGAAAGACTATGCTACAACAGTGTATTCGCATTGTGATCTACACCTGCTGCCTAAACAGCCCGAGAAACCACGTGACCAAAATAGCACGGGGTTCAATATGTAAACGCGTCAATTGTGAATATCAGCACGAAGCCCGGTTAGCACAGACACGGTCGGCGTATTGACCAAACGTTCTATCAGAATCGGAAGACCTCGCTGATGCC